CTGCAACCATGATTCGAGGGGAAAACTAAGGACTGTTCCAACCCCAACTGCAGCCCTGCAGGCTTAAGGAAACCCTATCTCGGTCCACCCTATTGCAGTCCACCACACTGCAGGCCTCCCTGAAATCACATCTCCTGCCTCTGGACTCATCATCAGAACCTCCTCTGAAGAGAGGGAAATCCCCCTTTGTATGGTAGCAGCTCACTGCACAGCATTGCTTAGTAATAGCCACCAAGATGAAAGTGGCCAAGCAGCCTCTCCTTCAGCTTTGCTTTGGTTCAAGCAAAGTTGGGGTGGGGATTTCGCTCAGTGGTTCCGGTGCCTGCCTCGAAAGCACAAGGTCCCGAGTTCGATCCCCGGTACCAAAAAAAAAAAAAAAACCACAAGTATCTCAAGCCACTTCCACGGACATCAAAATATCACCTCCTCTGATCCTAGAGCCCTGTTGGAGGTCACAGGGTGGAGGGATGACCCTCGTTAAAGATGAAGGGACTCCCTCAGAAGCTAAGTGGCAGGTGTCACTCGGGGGGGCCCTCTGTGGAGCAGAGGGACATGGGTGGGGAGCTCCCAGATGTTCTCAAATTAGTCCTGTCATCAAAAATGTGAAATGCATCCCTTTCAGTCCCAGTCAGAAAAATCATCTCCAAAAGACGCTCACACTGGTACTAAGATTTTGCCAAACACAAGACCCATCTGTGCTTATTAACTAAGCTCTTTAATTATTTAAAAAAAGGTTTTACAGTTTAAAACATCAACTTTCATTTTACCCAGAGCAGCAGTATCTGTGAAACTGTGGCTTTGTGTTCTATCGACATATTTTTTCAAATGCCAACCAAGAAAATACATAATTAATCTCTTGTTTTTATGTTCAGCTGCAGATGTTTTAGAATTATCTTGGGCACCACCCACGAGAATGCATATTTGGGAAACATTCGAATAAGATTAATGAGATAAATTGGTGTCATACTTACACACTGCAAAATTGTTTTATTAATTTCCTTTTCAGGAAAGATAGTTCATCAGAGAACTTCATGATTACCACATCCAAAAGAAAAATCTTAATTAAGGATCTGCTATCAGGAAACTTTACTTGATTTTAAAGTAAAGGCTCTGGGCAGTCTGAAGTGAGGGACTTAGCATGTCCATTTCTATATCCTGAAGGGTGACAGCTATTTTGTGTCCCAGATTTCTGAGGACAATATTAATGCCAAATATCACTGCAGTGACTTCTCTGTCAGCCCTGGACCCTCAGTCCTAGGAAGTTTCTAGAAGCTGATGTCACCCAGCCTGTCCAAGGAGGGCAGGGTCTGGATTGACCCCCTCTTGTCCCTCAGTCCCTCACACATGACTAGAAGCCCAGCATCCTAAGGAAAGTGAGGGCCCAGAATTCAATTTTTTGTCCAACCACTACTCATTAAATGATGGAGATACTGTGGGAGCAAAACCAACAGCATCTCTGAAGGGATGGAAGGAGGGATTCATCCACCCAGTTCCCCTTTCTTTACATCCTGCCCTAAGATGGGCCGACTTCCCCAGAGCCTGCCAGAACCCAACAGCTGTGGCCCTGGAGTCACTCGATGCTCCGTGGGAAGTGACTTACTGTTTGAGCATAGCTCTCCCATCAGGATGTGAGCATGGAAATGCAGCATCCTAGAAAGATGACACATGGCTCACGGGTCCCTGACCCTGTGGCCCATGGCTGGAATCCCACGGACCATTTCCAGGCTGTTGAACTCAGCTGGTTAAGTCCCTACATCTAGTGTAGCCTTGGGCCTGCTGTTAACTTACTGGCCGGCCTGGGACTGCTCACTCCACCTGAGTGTCCCTAGCTGTTAAACTTTCTGAGATCTTCATGTTCCTGAAATTCACTCCTTGCAAATGGGGGTCCCAGGATTGGCTGGCTGGAGGAGTCCAAGCCACTCTGGAATACGGCAGTCCTGCCTGGTGTCACCACCGCCAGCCTCCGCCCCAGGTGTCAGGTTACCAGCCGGCACTCGCTGGGTGGCACCTCTGCCTCTGATATTTTTAGACTCCCCCCTCAGCCCGGCCCTAACAAGAGCCAGACACATCCCGCCAAAATTGCACTCTGGGTAACTTGTGCAAGGAGACCAATCACCACTCCTGGGGCAAGGAGGGGAACCTCCTCTTCCCGCCACCCCCACACCTATCCCATTCCTTCCCTGGACAAGCTGAAGCCAGGGCACAGTCCAGCTGCGGTTCTTTCTACTATGCCAGCTGCCCTCTCCCCTTATTCCAGCGGCGGCCGCCGCCAACTGCCTGCTTCCCTAAGCCCAGTCACACACACGTGCACACGCACACACTCCCACTGTTTTAGGAAATCTCTACTCACCAGTGTCAGTGCCTGGGGACCCCCTCACCTTGGGTGACCACCACCTTCACTCTGAACCCTGGTGCCCGCAGACATCAACCCTCAGCGGAGCCACTGACGCCTGTGCCAGGGGCCCCAAGTGCCCAGAGCTGGACATCAGCCACAGGTTGCAACACACACGATTCCCTGGCCCACTAAGCAGGGCTGGACTCCTGCCTCTCAAATCCATCCTGCCACACAGCCAGAAGTCCAAGGACATCCCGTCTGGCCTGGAAAGTATTTACATAATTTTTGTCTCGACAGACTTCCCTTTCTGGTCATATCTGTCTGTCAGAGTTCGCTGTGACAAAGAAATAGCCATTGCTGAGCCCCGCAGACCTGGGAGGTGCAGGGTGGAGCAAGGCCAGGGGAGCATCGGTGTGGGCCTGGGGCATGGAACTGGCCCCTGATCTCCCCGTGGATGAGCTGTGGCCAGAAAACAGAGTCTGTGTGCTCCCACCATGAAGATACTATGAAAGAGGCAGAAAAAAGAAATGTAGGTGCTTTACTGGGGTGTGTGTGTGTGTGTGTGTGTGTGTGTGCATGTGTGTGTGTGTGCAGGGGATGCTAAACGGATGAGCCCTGCATGTGTGATTCAATGCCCCCATCAGGGTAGTGCCAGCCTGAGAGGGACCTCCCCTCTGGGCCGGGCAGTGCTGGCCAAGTTCCACCCCTTCACACCACTGTTTCCACCAGGCCCTGCCCTTCCCCTCCTTGCCGGCTCCCCTGGATCATAGGCATGTCTAAATTCCCCACTAAAGGGGCAGAAGAGGCTTCAGGCTGTGAGGTCTGTTCCTGGCTTTCCACCCAACCTCCAATGCCCCGAAGCGAAGCGAAGCAGGGTGGAGGCGGTGAGATCCAAAACTCCTCTGGGAAAACAGGTTAAGCACCTTTCTGCCGCCCCCATGCCCCTCCCTGGGCTATGGGCTGGGCATCTACCAGCCAAGGCCCCTGCTGCCATCTGCACCCTGTTTTCCCCACAAGGGCCCCTCCCTACCCGTTCCCTGCAGCCCACCAGCCCACGGAGCCTCTGTAGGGTGACAAAGGAGGGCCGGGGGAGGCAGGTGGAGTTCTAAGCCTGCCTCTTGCACTTAGCTCTTACTCTGTGGCCTCGGGTAACCGACTTGGCTTCTCGGGCCTGGATTTCCCCATCTGCAGCAGGGGAACGTGCTGGGAACAGCTCAGGGTGAAGCTCCCGGGGAGGGGCAGAGGAGGGGCAGGTAGGGCCCACTACACATCGCCTCGGCCTCACCACCCACTGCCTTCTCTCCAGGGCACCTGTCCTTTCTCAGCCTCCTCCCCTTCCTGATCTGGAGGCAACATTCCAGGGAGAGATGGCCAGCCACACTGCTAAGATTTCTCTAACGGACTCACACTGATGGGCAGAGGGGGCTAGAAGAGTCTTTTTTCTTTTTCTTTTCCCCTCATCATGGTAAAATGCACATGTATGATTTTAACCATTTGTTAAGTATACAATTCAGTGGTGTGAAATACACTCACAATGTGTTGTGTGACCATCACTACCACCTATACCCCGTACCTTTTTCACCCTGCCCAACAAGAACTCTGCACCCATTAAACACTGACTCCCCCTTTCCCACCGACCCCCACTCCCTGGCAACCACCATGCCTCTTCCTATCTATGGGTTAGTCAATTCCAGGTGCGAAGTAAAAGTGGAGTTGTACAGACTTTGGGCTGGAGGCTCTCACAGCCCCTCACTCAAAACTAAGTCACATCAACACACATACACACACACACACACACACACACACACACACACACACACACCTTGAGAGGGACTGTAAGCCTGGGCTGCCAACTTCGTTCCAAAGTAGCTCCGTTCTGGCGTGGAGGGAAAGCTTTGTTCTGCGGGGTCTCCCTCCATCCAAGTGTCAGCCCCCCAGCACGACCTTACAGACTACCCTGGAGCGTAGGTGAGTCTTGGATTTGAGGAGGGCCTATGGTCAACACCCCAAGCTCTGGTCCTCCCGCTGCAGTCCTTAAGTGAGGCCCTCACGCCCATACCAAAGTAGGGAATGCGGAGAAGTGTCATTCTAACTGCACACCCCTGCCCCACGCAACCGCTGCGGACCCTAGGAAGTTGCTCCTCGCCGCTGGAGGGCGCGCCGGAGCTGCAGGCCGGGCGGAGAGGGGTGCGCAGCTTGCCGGGACCCGCTCACCAGCCTGGGAGCAGCCGCTCTGCCTGCTCAGGTCTGCCGGGACCCGACAGCAGGGCGTCGGGGTCCCACACGCGACAGGGAGCAGCGTGGTACTCGGAGGGGCCCCCGGCCTGCGGCTGACTGGGAGAAGGGAGCCGCCCTGACTCCTCCCCAAACTTTTCCCGCCCGCCTGAGTGCAAAAGGCGAAGGAAGCCGACCCGGGGCGGCGAGGTGGAATTCCGGACGCGCGGGCGCGACGCCCACAGCAGGGCTGCGCCCCCGGGGTGGGGAGCAGGAATCTGGGTCTGCTGCACCGACGGCGCCTCGGCCCCACCCTGCTCCCCACAATCCCGGGGCCTCTCTGGGTCCCCAAAGAGCACGGTGGCGTCCCCGCCACCCTGGTGCACGCTGCCCCGAGCCCCGACGCCGCCCCGAGCCCTGCACGCATCTCCTGGGCGCGCCCCCAACTCACCGGGCGCAGTCGGCAGCGCGGGCGGCTGGACTGACGGACACACGGGCTGGGCGCGAGGTGAGGCCGCCGGGCTGTTTTGAAGCTCTGGGCCGGGACTGCGCGCCCTTCCTCCTCCCCGGCGGCGGCGCGGAGCCTCCTCCCCACGGCCCCCTCCTTCCCGAGCCCGCCTCCCGGGCCGTGACGTCAGGAGCCCGCGAGCCGAGGGGAGGGACCGCTGGAGGCGTTGGGGGACCCTGGAGGGAAAGGCCAGCGCCGGGAGCGCCCACAGCCCCCGCCCGCCTCCCCGCCGGGCTCTGGCCAAGTTTGGGGAGGAGTCGGGGCGCCGCGGAGGCCAGGGAGGGGGAGAAGGACGCCGGGGAGCTGCACGCTCCGGCCGCACTCACCTCCGTTCGCCACTCCCCGGCCCTCCTCTCTTGACCCCACCTTCTTCTCTTCCCCTCTGGCAAGGGGTTCTGGAATTCAGCCCCCTTCTTAAGCACTTCTGTTAATTTGGAGACCTTATTTTTAATCTCTCCTGACTCAGTTTCTTCTCCTGGAAAAGGAAGTCCGAATAGGACCTCTTTTCTCGAAGTGTGGAAGACCTGAAAGTGATAGCACAGGAGGGCTGCCTGGCAGATACAGAGTAAGAGCTCCATCTGTGTTTCTCACCGTCATTTTTACTATCGCGGACAGACAGGGTCCTGGCGTAGGTGTAGGGTGGCAGGGCCACCTGGACCCAGCCTTAAGATCCCTCCGAGTTCTTTTATGCACTCACCCACCCCCACCGACAAACACACAGACCCTCACATCTTGCCCCGCGCTCTTTGAACTCACAGTCCTGGAAATTTGTTGTTCCTGAAAATGACAGAAGACAAGGGACTGCCTTTGTTCGGCCTCATTTTCCGTCTGAGCTGATCTACCTTGGCGGTTCTTGGGAGGACAGGAAGAGGAGGCCAGAGGGATCAGAGCTCCACCTGTGTCGAGGGCTGTATTTTAAAAATTGAAGAAGTTCCAAAACAAGGTTAGAACATATCACAGCATGTTTTTAAACTTTTAACAGGTTAATGTTATTTGCACAAACCCCGAAATGCAAGAGAATTGATTTGTGCCACTGACAAAAGAATTAAAACTCTTTTTAAGAAATATGACTTACCCAGCACTCTGAGAGGCTGAGGCAGGAGAGTCGAAAGTTTGAGGCCAGCCTGGACAAATTAACAACTTAAGGAGACTGTTCAAAAATAAAAATATTTTTAAAGAAATTTTATTTAGTTCAGTATTTTGTATTTAGTTCAGTGCCACTGCGCCTACCTCACAAGCACAAGGTCCTGAGTTCAATCCCCCATCCCGAAAAAATATATAAATAAATAAAATTTAAAAATTTAAAAGAGCTGAGTATGTAGTGGGTGGGGGGAGAGAAATGAAGAAAGACCAAGAGAGAGGGAGAAAAAGAAAGGGAGAGAGGAAGAAGAGAGAGAAAGGAAGGCTTGATTTAACTGCATAACAGTGTGGTCTGCCTAGGACATCGTGTTTATCTTTTTCCGAGGCCCTCACAAAGTCTGAATTAGAGATCATCTCAGGGACCTGCGACCTCCAAAGTGTCACCCTTCCCCACTCCAGAGTCCTGAACTTACTGGGGCCTAACTTGCCAGGTCCCTTTTAATTGTGTGGCTAAATGAATACTCATTGCGCAAGCAAGGGATTCTTTGGGATGGAGAGGGGACAGGCAGGTGTCAATCTGAACACCTGCCTGTCCCATGGCCAAGAAAACCCCAAGGTATCTCGAAAAGAAAGTGACAGTGGGAGATGGAACAGGGGGGATTCTGCCATTTACTGAGCACTTGCTGTATGTACCACTTATTTTACCAACATTACCTTCGATGTAACAACAGCCCTGCAAACAAAGCTACTCTCACTTGATCCAGGAAGAAACAGGCTCAGAGAAGCTGTGGAAGTAATCTGCCCCAGGGTGTACTGATACGCACCTGTCATCCCAGCACTCTGGGAGGCTGAGGCAGGAGGATCACAAGTTGGAGCCCAGCCTGGGCAGCTTAGCGACTTGGTGAGACCCTGCCTCAGAATAAAAACATTTTTAAAAGTGCTGGGGATATAGCTCAGTGCAAAGACCCCAGATTCAATCCCCAGTTTTCTCCCCTAAAAGAACAAGTGGATTTGAACCCAGACTGACTGCATTAAACCCCACTCTCCCCTTTCCACTCTATCACTAGTTAGCAGATGCTAATGAGCGTTCTCAAACTATCATTTTGTCGTATTTATCTACCACCCGAAATAGTGTGCACTTAATATTTTTCTTGAAGTTAACTGTTTATATTGATGTATTTATTTAAAAGGAACCCTTTTATCACCAAGGTAAACAGGAAGCCAGTGCCATCCACCAAAAATAGAAGACAAACTTACAAATATAAACACTACCAAAATAAAACAGTGTGAGGAGATTGCAGCCTGACACTGCTGACTGAAGGAGGTTAGGATCCACTACAAAGGGCGAGCAACAGTGTTAGAGCTCGCTAGCATGGAGGAGTCTCTCTGGTTACTGAAACTGTTGCACAATCACTGGACAAATAGGACCAAGGTCTAACTCCGAGGTTCAGAGCCCTGTGATGCCTCCTCCCTGCTTTGCTTCCTGGGCCTCCTGCTGGTGGGTGTGCCCTGCACTAGGAGAAACCTGGCCAGACCCCAAATGCTTCTCCAGAACCCAGAAAAAGGAGTGACCCGTTGTTCCTCTCCTGTTTCCAAACCCTCTGTGGAGCCCCACCTGCCTGTCCCATTCACCTGCAAGTACAATGTTCCTATTTTCTCTCTCTAAATGTCTCTCCTGTGGCACCGGAAGCAGAAGCCTGCTCACACCTGCTTATATCCCTGCTAATGATGCGTCAGTACTAAGCTTGAGACCTCAACATGGTAGGGAGTCGGGGTTAGAGTGCGTCCCCTGCAGTTCTGGGCCTTAAAACTTTACCCCCTATAGTAGCAGTTGTATGTGTCCCACTCTAGCCATAGTCCCATGTTTATTCCCCATCCCTTCTTGAGCCAGGCCACGTGACTTGCTTCAGCCAATGAGAAATGAACAGATGTGATTCTTGCCAAACCTGGAACAGTGCTTGGATGGTAGAGTCCCCTCTTGCACACGCATCACTTCCATGAGCAGAGTATATCTCTGGTAGGAGTAGAGCTACCCTGGTGACCTGCAGAACTTGGGTCTGGGACCCAGAGTTGCTCCAGCCAAGCTGAAGAAAGGTGAATGAGAAGCAAATGTGCATTGCTGCATGCCGCTGAGAGTTCAGGGATGTTTGTTATGCAGTACCAGCTGGTTGATAAAGGATCATCTTACATGGAGACAGCACAGTCCAAGGAATGGAAGGCCATGGAGAAGGATGGGGGCAGGAGTTATCCAAGAGCTGGGCAGAAAAAATAATCAAGGACACGGTGATCTCTGGTGTGTCCTTTTGGACTTGCACATTTCAGAGTTCTGCCAGTTTCTTGTAACTATTCCTGTTGACTTTTTTTTTCCTCAAAAGGAATGACTAGAGATGTCCATGTCTAGGGGCAAACCTGACCCCCAGCCTTAAGACAGCTTACTAGCAGTCAGGTTGTATCAGAATAGGTCATGGGGAGAACAGTGTGCACTCTTGTCCAGAAGCACGGAGATTTAAAACACAATATGATGTAAGTCTATAAGATCATTATGGGAATGGAAGGACTGTAAACATGATCCAGCTGTGATCAGTGGACAGGTTTTTAGCAACTTCCATTCAGTGACCATTTCCTTTGAAAACAATTTGAGGAACAGGCTGTTACCATGGCCCACAGTGCCCCTACCTCCTTTGTGAAATCTCTTTCCTGGAGAGTGGGCTGGACATAATGACTTGCTTCTAATGAATAGACTAACAGTGATGGGATGGCATGTATATGACTAGATTCCAAAACAGTGTGACATCTGTCTCACGAGCACACTGTCTCCATCACTCTCTCAATGTGGCCATTCAGGAACCCACCTGCTGCAGAATCCAGAAATGCTTCAGCCAAGAGTTGGCCAGGACCCGAGGCCCTCAGTCCATCGGCCCACAGGGACCAGAATGCTGCCAACACCAGGTGAGCTTGGAAGTCTGTCCTTCCCCCACCACAATCTAGATGAGATCCCAGCTGTGACTGACACCCAGATTGAAGTCTTGTGAGAATCCCTGAGGCAGAGGACCCAAATAAACCCTGCCCAGGCTCCTGATACACAGAAACTGAGATAATAAACGTATGTTGCTTTAAGCTGCTAAATTGTGGGATAATTAGTTTTGCAGCAATAGATAACTAACATGCAAACTAAGAATAGAATTAACCGGATGATTCAGATTTGGGAGACCAGGTTCTAGTTGTAGCCTGTGTACCCATCAGCATAGGCTAGGTTATGCTGCAATAACCAATGACCCTTGTTTGCCACTGGTATGTCCATTGTGGGAGGGTCGGCACCCTTGTCATCTTTACTTCAGGACACAGGCCGAGGGAACATGCTTTCTCTGGAATGTTCCTAGTCTCAGGGAATAAGGAGGCTATTAAAAGCTTTTATGTGCTCACATTTCATTACCAAAGCAAGTCACGAGGCCAAGCAGCACAAATCTCCAGCTGGCCATGTTACCTTAGCACATTGCTTCGCCTGTCATGATCCAGTACTGACTTAGCTGGGCTTAGAGCTCTCACTGTTTCTGGGCTAGGAACCTAACACCTTCAAGGTCCTTGAAGGTAACAATGTCTCGTGGTTACTCTTCCAGAGATGCAGCAGGATCCTCAGACGAGGGCGTCCCAGGAAAATTCCAAGTGTGGAAGCTACCGGAAACCTGTTATTGGGTCCAAACTACCCCTCCAGCACTAGTGCTTCTCAGCATGGCTCGGCTGGCTACCAGCTGGCTAAGACAGAAGTCAGGCAGCCCCCACGTCCCCGCTACATGAACATTGGGAACTCTGAATTTGTCTGAGCAGGATCTGAGAAATATGCCCTCTTGAGATTATTTCCTGGTCATCCACCTCCACAGACTGGGTTGGGGCAGGATAGAGAGGATGGTTTCCAGCAGAGAAACAAGTCTTAGTGGCCTTCTCCTCTGGGCTGGGTACTCTGGGTCTCACAGCTTCTCTTCATGCACTGGGGGTGGAGCCTCAACTTCAGGATCTGACTGTTCTGCCTCCTCTCAATTTCTAACAGTGATGACAGAAATACCTATGATCTACTGTCATGAAACTTCCTGCAAATAGAATATAAGTTAATAGTATGTGGCCTTTCCTGCCTGTTTCTGCTCCCCTGCCCCAATCATGGGCCACACTCTATGGCCCCTGCTTCTTGTACTTTCTGTGTGCGGAAGTGCTTGTCCTGGGATGTCCTGCCTTCACGTGGCCCCTCTGGAACACAGCACTGGGGACTTGAAGAACTGTGCTTCTGGAGAGATTCAAGAGCTGGCATGTGTTTGGAGACCGGCCTGGGGGCTGAGTTTTGCTCCCTTGACTATTGTAGCTGTTTCCATAAAGTTTAGAAATTCAGCCCCCAAAAAATTTGAAAAGGAATTAACAGTGCAAATGTTGTCCACTTGACTTATGACAGAGAGGTCTGACAAATTACCAAGGACAACAACCACAGAACTTCCAAACTTCTGGAGAAACAGCCCCAAACTATGCTGTCTTGGGCTTTTTGAGGTCTTCTAAAGCCATCACATGTAATGAATGCAAATGTGCTGGGTGGGTAGAAGAAACAGAAGGGGCATGTCCAGGGCCTTCCTGTTACAGGGATGTTTCTCCTTGTGGACCTAAAACACCTGGCTCCCAGGTCCTTGGTGGGGAATCCTTTGGCACCTCGGGGCCAGGATTGCAGAGCTTCCTTGACTTGAATTTCCCTGAAAGACAGACTGTAACAGGAAGTGGGAAGAGGCATTCTCCACCACCACGGTCACCACTCAAACACCTGAAGCCCAGGATGGCTTGCAGAAGAGAGTACCCAGGTGTCCCCAACACAGCAAGGAAGGTTGAGACTGGCTCTTTCAGCCCATCCTCTGCAAAGAACCAAGTAATTTGGCACTAGAACGTTTTGAAAGGGGGAAGAAACAATAAGGGCCTGTCATTAGTTATGCTCCAGAGGTAAGCTCTCCTCCTCTTCCTGGGATCTCAGGACTGATCACCAATACTCTTCCTTAATGATGAGGTCATCCCTGGTACTCTTAAAAATATTTTTAATTTTTCCAAAACAAAATCCTCCCCTTCCTTCCTTTCTGCCAAACAGTTACTCAAGGAAATATTTTTCCAGTCATTCACTTAACATATGCTTAGTAGGACTCTTCTGTGTGCCAGACACTGAGGCACTGGAAATAGTGATGAACAAATGTGTCCACAGATCTTTTGATGTCATGGAACTCATTAACTGACACTGATCAGTTCTACTTGCTGTCCCACTTGGCAATGATATGTGTTTTTTTCTTTCCAAGATTATTGATACCTTTTTGCATATGAGTTGTCTCGTAGGCAATAAGACCAGGGAAACAATCCCCCCAGTGATTGACCTCCGAGCCAGCTTCCAGACTCAGGCTAGACTCACAAATCCTTATGACTCTGGATCTGGGGAGGAAGGATACCTCCCATTTCCAAAGGGAGATACGCTCTCATCCTACTCATAGCTTCACACTTCAAAAGTCAAGGAAAAAAAATTTTTCCAGTACTAGGAACTAAACCCACAGTGTTTGCACTCAGCTCCATCCCCAGACCTTTTTTATTTTTGGAGACAGGGTTTTACTAACTCATTAAATTCCTCAGACTGGGCTTGAACCTGTGATCTTCCTGCCTCAGCCTCCCAGAGTGCTGGGATTACAGGCACACGCCACCACATCTGGCTGTAAGTATATTTTTATGTTATACTTTCTTACTTGTTGTCTCCATTCCTTAGTAGAGCACAAACTTCTTAAGACCCGAGCCTTGTCTATCTTACTCATGGCTTTTTCTTTTTAAAAATAATTTCATTGGTACATTTTAGATATGCATAATGATAACATTTATCATATGAAATTTGTACCTGTACATGATATATCTTGATTCTTCTTTTTTTCCCCTTCCCCCCTCCTCCCTTCAACCCCTCTTCCCCTCTGTATTTATAAAAGCTTTATTTCCATTTTTTCCTTCTATTCTCTTTTTTCCTTGACCCTTCCTTTCCTCCCCCCCACCCCGTTCCCCTTTCCTTTTGAACATTTTCTTCCTATTTCATAATATCTGTTATACATTTTGCTCCTTTTTTATACTTTTGGTTTCTCACACCAGAGAACCCATTCGATATTTGGACATGTGTTTTGATTTATTTTACTTAAGAGTATGCTCTCAAGGTGCATCCATAGGTAACCTATCATCACTTCTGCTAGTCTTCACAGTGCTCTTAAAAATTAAGAAAAGGACTCATTTATCTCAAAGCCAATGATTTAGAAAATGAAATCTTCTCAGGGCATGCATCTTGAAAAATAGTTGACATCTTTATCAAAGAGAAAAAAATGTCCCTTCCTCCAGGCAGATCCAGCCCAAGCCAGCCGCACGGCTTGGCGAACAGTCTATAGGCTGGATTTCACATCCCCAACACACACACGTCTTGACTAGCAACCGTTTTGCTGTGTATACATTACGCAACAAAAGGCGGGAGCACTGGGATCAATGAATATTTGATGAATGAATGAATGAAATGGAAATCCTTCAAGATGTCTGGTGGTTTCAGAACATGTCTACAAGTTGTTTGACACTCAGCCCAAGGAGAGGTTTAGAGTCATTGATTAGTGGCTGGTCAACCAATAGAATTTAGTGGAGGTGACCATGTGACTCCCAAGGCTGGGTCATAAAAGAGCAGGCAGGTCTCACTTGGTTCTCTGGAGGACCTACTTACTGAGCACCTTCTTGGCACTGAGCTGGGACTAGGAATACAGTGATGAACAGAAACAAACCCAGCTTCTACCCTCATTTTCATAGACAGGTAGGGTAGACTACTATTAGGTGCCACATCATTGATCATGTAAAGTTGGACTCTTCAGTAAAAGGGGTGCTATGAGCAATTGCAGTGAGACAGTAAGTACACATGAAACTGCCCAAGGGAAATGAGATGTGCTATACTATCATGAATTAAGTAATCCATCAACTAAATGTGTACACACTTATAAGACAGCATGCCACAAAGGAAGAGGAGCCTGTGGCCTGTGGGTCTATAATAAGGGGAGAGGCTGGGAGGAAGGTCAAGCCAAGGAAGGTTGGCAGCTTTGTTCTAGGAGTGATGGAGCATTGTTGAAGATTTTAATTCAGAGTGTCACTGTGGTCTGATTGCTGTGGAAAGCATCAGGAAGCCAAAAGTAGGCTCAGAGATAGAAATTAGGAGATGTGAAATGATAGTAACTTGGAATCCATGATTCTACTCATACTTTAGAATGATGCTGGGTCTGGGAGAAGAATAGCTCAAGATTGCAGAGACTTGGAGTTCCCTTGGGGGAGACGTCTAGAAAAAAATCACATTATTTAGAGGAGGACTGAATAGTCTGGGGGTGGGTGTGATGAAATGAGCACTTTTCTAGGGGCCACACGTGAGGGGTCTGGCTTGGTCCATTGGAATGTTTGATGGTGCTGATGCTTCTCAGGTGCCAGTGCTAGGAACAGGCTGGACTTTGAGACCTGACGGCTCAGTTCAGGCAATGAGGGTGGATTTGCTGGCCTGCACTTTGATGGTGGATTAATTGTCAAGAAGAGCATCCAGGGGGCAGGGTGGTTCCCTAGGATACCTGGTCATGTGTAAAGCCTCATCTATTTACCTAATTGGCTTCCAAAAGAAAGCTTAAGGCAGCTTACACTCAAAGACACTGGCACAATAGAGCTGACACGAAAGGAAATAAAAATTGTGTAGACAGAGAAGGAAGCAAATATATGAGCTCTATGCACCTATAAAAGCGACTATGAGTCACCTGGGCACCTATTAACCATGCAAATTTATGGAGCTCACTTCCAAAGGTACTGGAACAGTAGCTCTAGGTGAATCCCAAAAATGTGCATATGTAACAAGACTTCCCCCACTGCAAAATGATTCTGATGTCAGTGATGAATAGACCACATACTGAGAAACGCTGCTTTACTCCTTCAAGAAAATATGGTCATGGACCAGGGATTTAGCTCAGTGGTTCCACCACCTGCCTTGCAAGCAGAAGGACCCGAGTTCAATCCCCAGTACCAAAAATAAAAAACAAAAAAACAAAAACAATGAAAAAGAAAATATGGTCATAGTGATTGAGTATCAAACGTAATGTTGGATTTCCTAACACTCGAGGCGTGATGGTGAACTGGCATCCCGTTGAGACTTCCTTGGCTGATGGGTGGTCACCTTACGTTCCCACAGAGGGGGCCACAGGAGAGCATCGCCAGCTCAGTGAAGCTACCTTGACCTTCAGTGGCATCTCTCTACTTCTAGAGAGGACTTTGTGAGTCCTTGGGTGGAGAGCCAGACAGGTATTGTCTGTATTGTCAGAGCCAGGCCAACTGAATAAACTGCTGAGATGACCATGGTGAGCTTGCACTGAGAATGAGGGTGAGCTGGGAAAAGCTAATGTTTCCAGGCCTGGTTCAGCCCATCATCCTGGTGGGAGAGATCCTGGGCAGAAGGTTGGGGTCATCTTTGTTCAGCCCTCAGGACCAAAGTGAGTCATGGAGGGATGTGATGCTTCTGGAAGGCTGGCGTTGCTCTCAGCAGAGCCTCCGGAGCCTCTTTGATTCTTTGCTCCTTGCAATTTCTCTTACTTCTTTATTAACCTGTTCTTGGTTTCAGCAGCCCCTTCCTCACTTCTGGAAAGACTGAAGCCCCTCCTCAGGCAGGCACTAGACAATGGTCAAGAAGATGGTAGGTGGTGGGATGGATGACTGACTAGGACAAACTTCACCTAGGTCATGCTGCTTAAAATGGGATCCACAACTCAGCATCCCTTGGAAGTTGTGAAAAATGCATGTTCTCAGGCCTCACTCACATTTGTTGACTCAGAATCTGCATTTTAACCAAATCTCCAGGTGACTCACGTGCACATCAAAGATTGAAAAACGTTGCTGTACTTATTCCTGTATCCAATAACTAACTGTTGAAGTTTCCCCCCAACTCCACACGCCACTGCAAGGACCTAGCGCTGTACTGATGCAGGGGGGACAGCAATGAAGAAAAATGATACAGGCCATTACAATCTGGTGAGGGACCCATGACACAAATAAGCAAACAAACATACAATTACAAGTG